AAAAAAGTTAAAGGGGTGGGACATTATAAATGATCGCCTGGTACAATTCGTTTAAACAATGAAGCATGCCACAAGAAAAATATTCTTAAATATTTCCAACTAATTTTTTAAGGTAAATTTGCAATAGACTTTCAGTACTTAAAAAATGTTTTAATTGTCTAATTTTACGTTTCAAGTAATAAGTTCTATGTAGGCTTTGAAAACAAAGTCAGATAGTTAGGTACATTTGGTTGTCAAAATAATTTATAAGTTAAATAGAAAAAACGTTGTTTAGACATTTTTTAATTGAAGTGTTCAATAAGAAATGGCGAACAGAGAAGGTTTGCTATCATTTTCTGAAATGACCGATATGATTTTAATAATGGGTAAGTACTTATTAAAAGGAATAGGATTTTTTCTTAATAAGTGTTAATTGTAATCTCGAACCTAAACAATTTAATTTCTCTTGCTTTTAGGAAAATGTAACTCTAATGCTAGTTTAGCTGCTAGGCGTTATGCGGACAAATTTCCAACCAGGCACCATCCAAAAAGGAGATTTTTCTTAAGCTTAGTCAACCGTCTGAGAGAATCTGGCAACTTTAAGCATAGGAGGATGGGCCAATGTGGACGGCAACTCAAATTACGTTCAAACGAAGAGGAGCAAATCTTGCAAATTGTCGAAGAAACTCCGAGTATAAGTACGAGGATACTAGCTAATCAAATTAATAATGGTGGCAACAATAATATTAAGTCAGATGATGTGCGACATGTCTTCAAACAGCAATTACTGTACCCATATCATGTACAAAAAGTGCAGGCGCTTCTACCTTTAGATTCAGAAGCAAGAGTCACTTTCTGTAATTGGATATGTCAAGAAAATAATGATAATATTAATTTCATTAAATTTATTTTATTTTCCGATGAGGCCACGTTTACTCGTAACGGAGTAACGAATATTCATAATACTCATACATGGGCTGCTGAAAATCTGAAATTCATTGTAGAGGCACATCATCAAGTAAGTTTTAAAGTAAACGTATGGGCAGGAATAATTGATAATTTTCTTTTGGGACCGTTTTTTTTACCTCCCCGTTTGAATGCCGACGAATTTTTGCATTTTCTGCAAACCTCTTTTGCAGACTTACTTGATGATTTGCCTTTAGTGGTTCGGCAAAATATGTGGTTTCAACTAGATGGGGCTCCGCCACATTATGGCTGAATTGTTCAGAACCATTTAAACAAAATCTTTCCTAACAGCTGGATCGGCCGGAGACGTCTTGCGCCAGTCAAATGGCCACCTCAATCCCCAGACCTTAATCCCTTAGACTTCTATTTCTGGTGGTTTATGAAAGATTTTGTTTACATGGTTCCAATTGTGGATGAACAACATTTAAGATTCAGAATTTTAGAAGGGGCCGAGCAATTTAGGGTTAAACCACATATTTTTCATAATATTCGTTTCTCCTTTATAAAGAGATGCAGGATGTGCGTCCGCGAAGGTGGTTCTCATGTTGAACATTTAATGTAATTTTTCCAATTTAATTTCTGTTTGTAATATAAAATATATGCAGTTTGTTTCATGTTGTTAAATGTTAAATAAAATTTATAGTACAAAACGGATTTTAAACTTTATTAAAATAAGTTACAATATCTGGTAACCCAGGCTCCAAATCAAAATCTTGCAAGAATAAGAAAAGTTAGAATAAAAGCCGCTTCATCTAAGAAAATATATGTTTTTACCATAGGCGTGCGTATGAAAAAGTTGGGGGGGGGTCGTAATGTACTTTAACCCCCTCACCTCTGCTCGTGCTTTGATTTTTTTTATTAAAAGTATACTGAAAGTGTGTCTCTACAAGAAAAAAATATTAGCGAAATTTCAAGCAAATATCTCTAATTCTATCGGAGTTATCGACAAATTTCGTTTTTGAAATTTACATTTTGACACACTGTATTTCAAAAATGGGGCTCCTAAATGAAAAGTGGCATAATGAAAGTCCCATTATTTTCATATCAGCTATCTATGGTTAACGGATTGACCTACTAATTTTCGGCACCCTGTATATAGGTAGCCTCCACTATATCTGATGCATTTTTAATAAAACTAAAATCATATTTGACATAAGGGGAGGATTAGTAACAAAGATCTCAACCGAGGGGTAACAGTTTCCTCTAATATTTTTTATTGTATATATGAATCGATATGACCTCCTACCATATATATCTTTTTACTGTACGTTGAGACTTCCAGCGTAGTTGCCGTTGATTCTCCCATCAAGATTCTTCTTTATTCCTTCTTTTTGGCCAGAAACATGGTCTGTTGGGAAAGAGAACTTAAATCTCGTACTAAATAAGCACTTAGCACTTATAATAAAAAAATAAATCTGTGGAAAATGCCAGTGTTTTGAGTTAAAGCAGATAACAAATCGAAGACAACTTATGTTAATCGAGACAGAATTTCGTAAAAGTGAATTTGTGCACTTTTCCGAAGGAGAATTAAATGTGCACTTATACTAAAGAAATTATGTGGAAAATGCCAGAGTTTTTTTCTTTTTAGTTTGGAGAGATAAATTAAAAACAAATTATGTTAATTAAAATAAGTAAGTTATAACTTATTATTCATTGTTTTTGAAAAACTGTTATACATTATCTCTAGTTTTGGATTTTTGATAAGCTTGCGGCATTCTATAAGTAATCTCCCAAATTCTCTCATTTTATTGCTACACGTATAGGTACTTTTCTCCTTTTTGTGTTTCTTCAAATAGGAGTTCCTAAAATGTGTTAACAAATCATTTTTTGCTGCAAATGCAATTTCATCTCCTCTCATCATATTGAACACTTTTTCTTTCATTGCCAGTCGAGTTACCGTATTTGTTTGGTCTAGATTGCAAGCAGAGAATGTTTGTGATTTTGAGACAGAATTATTTGTATAAACCTTTACAAAATGTGCGTGGATAATGCAGACTCTGGATTTTCGCTTAACTTCTCGTCGTCAAATTTTCTTCGTGTGGGCTGAGATACCTTGGCTACCGCTGAGATATTGTTTAAATGAGTCTCCTTTCATAATGCTGCTAATGCACCTTTCCTCGCATTACTATTCAAAGGTTCTCTCAAATTTTTTTTTACTTCCATTTCGCCTCATCAAATAGCGCAAAAAATTCTTAGAGATTGTATCCTCTTCGCAAAAAATACACGTCATAAATTAAGTTTTCAAACGTTCTGTTTCTTTTAGATGACTGTTGGCTATGGACTTGTTAACCTGCGACACATTTACTTCTAGTTTTTTAATACGAATGTCTTGTAAAATGATAACGTTTGGTTGTTTTATCTTTTTGAATTTCACGAGATC